CCTCAGCAAAAGGAATTTGAATCATGTTACCTTAATGGATGACGGGAACGGTTGACAGATGAAATGGGGTGGCGTGACATAAAATGTTTTGTAACATATGTGCTAAAAAAAAACTACTGTAAGTTATACATCGACACTGTGCAGTATACATTCCTGGCATCAGGCCAAGACTGCTATTACACCACAAAATGCATATTTCAAATAAATGTATTAAAAAAAAAAACTAACATTTTTCATTTCGATTTCCACTTAAAACTAAACTCTCTCAATCAGCATTAAAGTATATGTGAACCCTCACTCAACAACCCATTCAGTTTAACATTGAAATAAAAGGCAAAACATTTATGTATAGATATGAAAACATTATAAACACCTTTTTCCCCTTTTTATAAGAGATCACATACCCTCTGTTCTCAGCTCAGGAGCTCAAAGAGCTGGTGGAGGATAAACAGCAGTACACTGGTCTTCCCAGTGAATACCTGTGTGTGGGGGGGGGGGTGTGTCAGCACAAGCCTGATCATTGGAAGAGAGCAAGCTGGGTTCCCAGCACAGCTAGAGAAATGACCACATTGTGCTCTCATACATAGTGCGGTCAGTTTTTAATAGGAAAGCAGAGGGACTGGCAGAAACACCAGGGATTTCACACAAAGGAAGCAATACTGGGTTCCCAGCACAGCTAGAGAACTGACCACATTGTGCTCTCATGCCTTGTGTGGTCAGTTTTTAATAGGAAAGCAGAGAGACTGGTAGAAACCCCAGCTTTGTGTGAGAGTTGCATAACCTTTGATCAGTGTTGGATGAACATGTATCATTTTATTCGATTGGCCTTTTTCTGATCTGAGTCCCTGAGCGCAGGAAGTGGTGGATGTGTGTCGAAGGGACTGGTAGGAGCACCAGGGATTCCACACAAAGGAAGCAACACAGAGAATAGGATACATTTTCATACAAGTACATGGTACAGCAGGCACATATCAGGAATATCAAATGCTGGGGTTACATATTCTTTAATCTTTTTTTTTTATCCTTATACTGCTAGCATTAGTAAATACATATCATGTTTATGTTTGTTTATGTTTGTTTGTTTTATGTTTGTTTTTGTTTGCTTATTGTTTACATTTCCTCACTTGCTTCCTGGTTTCTGACCTAGGCCAAAATGATGTCATACATTCCAGGATTCATGGTAATTGTATTTTCCTTCATCTGTAGGAGGAGTTTTAATGTTTTCAATAAAATGTTGAAGATTGCGCCCCATGAACACACCCTGTAACTTTGACAGGTCACATGACTGGGTTCTTCTCTCCCATCTTTCATCCCTATCTGGGGATTTGATTGCTTTAGAGTCCGGGAGAGCAGAGGAGCAGAGCTAATTTTAATAATGTTATGCGGAAGAAGAAAACTTTAATATCACACTTTAAGCTTTGGAAATAAAACCTGGAAGCTGACTGGTTTTTATGCAGAGCTGCACCAGATTTTGCACTCTCCAGTTTTAGTAAATCTGCACCAAAGTGTGCTAAAAGTATAGGGACTAAAGGATTGAGTTCAGAAGTCTACAATAAAATACAAACTGTTTATAGGCTAAAACACACCCTGCCTTACTAATAATATGTACAGTGTATACATTATATTGCCAAAAGTATTGAGAGCAGGGTTCAACAAAGGCCAGACGCCAAACCCTTTACTCCATTAAAACCAATGGGAAACAAATACGTCAAATCAAAAATGCCATTTTCTGTGTTTATAGGCAAGGGAGGGTCAACAATAGTGTGAAAGGTTCAAACAAGTCAAACAGATTCTCAATCTCCATCTTAAATATACTATATTACCAAAAGTATTGGGACGCCTGCCTTTACACACACATGAACTTTAATGGCATCCCAGTCTTAGTCTGTAGGGTTCAATATTGAGTTGGCCCACCCTTTGCAGCTATAACAGCTTCAACTCTTCTGGGAAGGCCGTCCACAAGGTTTAGGAGGGTGTCTATGGGAAGGTTTGACCATTCTTCCAGAAGCACATTTGTGAGTCAGGCACTGATGTTGGATGAGAAGGCCTGGCTCACAGTCTCCACTCTAATTCATCCCAAAGGTTTTCTATCGGGTTGAGGTCAGGACTCTGTGCAGGCCAGTCAAGTTCCTCCACCCCAAACGTACTCATCCATGTCTTTATGGACCTTGCTTTGTGCACTGGTGCGCAGTCATGTTGGGATAGGAAGGGGCCATCCCCAAACTGTTCCCACAAAGTTGGGAGCATGATATTATTTTATTTTTTTTTCAGGTACTTATATAGCACTGTCAATTTACATATATATTGTACATTCACATCAGTCCCTAACCCTCAAGGGGTGTACAATCTAAGGTCCCTAACTCACATTCATACATACACATATTAGGGCCAATTTAGACAGGATCCAATTAACCTACCAGCATTTCTTTGGGTTGTGGGAGGAAACCGGAGTACCCGGAGGAAACCCACACAGGCACAGGGAGAACATGCAAATTCCAGGCAGGTGGTGCTGTGGCTGGGATTCAAACCAATGACCCTAGTAGTGCCAGGCGGAAGTGCTAACCATTTAGCCACTGTGCTGTCCAAAATGTCTTGCTATGCTGATGCCTTAAGAGTTCCCATCACTTATGGCTCCACACCATAATCTCCCTCCACCAAACTTCACACGTGGCACAATGCTGTCAGGAAAGTACCATTCTCCCTGAAACCACTAAACCTAAACACATCTATTGGATTGCGAGACAGAGAAGTGTGATTGGTCACTCCAGAGAACACGTCTCCACTGCTCTAGAGCCCAGTGGAGGCGTGCTTTACACCACTGCATCCAACGCTTTTCATTGCACTTGGTGATGTAAGGCTTGGATGCTGCTGCTCAGCCATGGAAATCCATTCCATGAAGCTCTCTACACACTGTTGTTGTGCTAATGTGAAGGCCACACCAAGTTTGGATGTCTTTAGCTATTGACTCTGCAGAGAGTTGGCGACTTTGGCGGTTCAGTATGCACTGACCCCGCTCTGTCATTTTGCATGGGCTACCACTTGGCGACTGAGTTGCTGTTGTTTCCAATGCCTTCCACTTTATTATAATACCATTAACAGCTGACTGTGCAATATTTAGTAGCCAGGAAATGTCATGGATGGACTTATTGCACAGGTGGAAACCTATCACGGGACCACGCTTGGAGTCACTGAGCTCCTGAGAGCAACCCATTCTTTCACAAATGTTTGTAGAAGCAGTCTGCATGCCTAGGTGCTTGAGTTTATACACCTGTGGCCGTGAAGGTGATTGGGACACCTGAATCCAATGATTTGGAGGGCTGGCCCAATACTTTTGGCAATAAAATATATGAAATAAATAAAATAAACAGTAGAAAAAAGCAGAAATGGTAGAACTGGGCCCTTTAGAAATATTTATTAGCATTTGTATTTCAAGGTACAATAACACCTCTCTTAATACCAACAGCTTGCAGCCAACATCTCCCACAAGAAGGGAGTGCACACTAACAACAGAAAAGGTGTAACCAAAAACTCATTTGATAAGTCGCATAGTGACACTATTTGCATAAAACTGCTCTGACCAATACCAAATGTAGAGCCCTGGTTGAGAATGAGTGTTCTAAAGTATGAGCAAATGTCAAACAATGATTTTAAAAAAATAACAATATTTGACAAAGGACCAAAGGATACATCAAACTCCATGGATGGCTTGGAAAAAAAAAAACCCACAAAAACACCTGCAAGTAATGCTGCAGGCTGATAAGGGGAAAAATATGCCACTGTTTGCTCAAGTCCACTTTCTGTGAAACAATTTCCATTTTGCAAACCCCCTCAACCAACGGGCCAGGGTTGTGGGGAAAGGGTGCTTGTCCTCATCAACATGTTAAGGTAATGTGGCCTGTTGTGGTTGGGGTGGGAGTGTGGGGAAACATGCCCCTTTCCCACATACTTGAACATTTCTTTTTTTTTTTTATAAATATTTATTAATTTTTCAAATCATATACAAAACATTTCAACATTTCTATTAAAATAGTTATCAAAACCGTATTTTCTCCTTATATAATTTATTTATATATAACTTCCCTTTCTTACACCCACCCAGACCCCCCACCTCTATGCCCCTATCCCCTCCCCTCCCCCCCTCCCCCCTCCCTCCCACACTCAACATTTTCTCTTCTCTGATTAAGTCCATATTATTCTGTTGTTCCTAAACCCGTTTCTAGACCCACTTTCAGGGATATTATCTCTTCATATATTTCACCTTTTTTCTATATTCTTCCCAGCCTTTCCATTTGTTATTATACATCTCCAACTTGTCCTCATGCGTATAGTACAATCTTTCTGTCCCTGAAATCTGATTTACTCTACCCATCCAATCCTCCTCAGTTGGCACCTCTCTTTTCTTCCAGAACCTGGGTATCAGGCTCTTTGCTGCGGTCAAGTAATGCCATATCCCCGAACTCTTATATGCTTTCACTGAGAATTCTGAGATATGGAGGAGACATAGTTCTGGATCTAATCCTATATTGATTTTGGTAATTTTCCCTATCAAATAAACTATCCTCCGCCAGAACACCTGTATTTCTGGACACTCCCACCACATATGATACCACGTGCCCACCTCTCCCCAACCTCTCCAACACATCCATGAAATTTCCGTATTCATATTGTGCTCCACATTAGGGGTAATGTACCATCTATTCAAACACTTATAATTTATTTCTACTTCCCTCATACTAATATTTTTGTGAATTAATGTGAGCATTCTCCTCTGCTCCTCCTCCTCTATTATTCTTCCCATATCTCTTTCCCATTTCTCTATGTGCATTAATTTTGTGTCGGTGTCAAGTTCCATTAATATCTTGTGTATTTTTGCCGTTCCGTGTCTACCATTTCCCTGTGACTCAAATATTCTCTCAAATGGATTCCAGTCTTTTCTAGTTCTTATAGGCTTTGGAAGGCTCTCAAAAAAGTACTTTAGTTGGTAATATCTTAGTCTATCCATCTTATTAAAGACTTCTCCCTTTCCATATCCTTGTATGACCCGATTTCCTCTCCTACCATTATATCTCTTAATTGCGCCTCCTGTTTTAAAATCCATTTCCCTGCTATGCTATCCTTACCCGGGGTAAAATATTTTGTGTTCCTAAGTGGTATTAATTGTGAATTATAAACCCACCCCTTTTGTCTGTGTAATAAATCCCATTCTTTTAAAACATTAAGAGTGTACGTGCTAGTGCTCTCCTCTAATTCCCTATATTGTGCAGGTACCCAAATACTTTTACTTAAACTTATTCCACTCAGTGCTTTCTCAATTTTAACCCAACTTTTCTCCGGATTATGAATCCAGTCGAATATTCTCGCGATAATCCCCGCTTTATAATATCTCCTAAAATCTGGTACCCCCAATCCTCCTCTTTCTTTACTTCTAGTCAACGTTTCATAACCTATTCTAGGCTTTTTATTCCTCCATATACATTTTAATATCATTTTCCTAAGTTCTTTAAAATATGCCTCTGGGAGTTTGATTGGGATCATTTGAAATTTGTATAATACTTTGGGGACAATTACCATCTTTATCAAGTTTATGCGACCCATCCACGTTGGGTTTCCATTTCCCACTTTCCTCAGCTCCTCCTTCATCTCATTTAATAATGCTATATAATTGGCTTTATATAGGTTCTTAATGGAGGCTGATAGTTTTATTCCTAGATATTTTAGTTCTTTGTCTCTCCAAAGGAAAGGGAATTCCTCTTGTAATTTTTCCTTTTCACTATTTTTAAGGTTTATATTTAAGATTTCAGTCTTTGTCGGGTTAATTTTCAGGTTCGACAGTTCTCCATACTCCCTCAATGCTTTCATCAAATTTGGAAGTGATGTTCTGGGGTTTCCAACATAAAACATCAGATCGTCCGCATAAGCCACTACCTTATGTTCTCTATCTCCTATCTTTATTCCTTTTATGTCTATGTTCTTCCTAATCATGGACAATAAGGGCTCCAGTGATAACAAGTATAACAATGGTGACAATGGACATCCCTGTCTTGTACCATTTGACATCTTAAAATACTCCGATCTTCCTCCATTTACCATTATGGTAGCGGTAGGCCCTCTATATAACTCTCCAATCCACCCTCTCATTCTATTTCCAATTCCTAACGCTTCCAGGGTATCCATCATAAAACCCCAACTCACCCTGTCGAATGCCTTCTCAGCGTCTTTCGACATCAGTATCATTGGGGTTTTCCCTTTTCTACCCTCCTGTATAAGCGACAGTGATCTCAAAGCATTATCTCTACCCTCTCTTCCTGAGACAAATCCCACCTGATCTCTATTTATCCACTCCGGCATCAACTCTTTCAGTCTATTTGCCAGAACCTTTGAATATATTTTAGTGTCTACATTCAACAGTGCTATTGGTCGATAACTCGCGCATTGCGAGGGGTCTTTATCTTCCTTCTGTATCAATACTATATTATCCTGTAAAGATTCTCCCCTTATCTCCATCCCATTCCCCAAGGCGTTCATGTAAATCTTCATCTTGGGTATTAAAAGCTCTTTATATTTTTTATAGTATTTGACCGTATATCCATCCGGACCCGGACTTTTCCCTCCTGCCATGCTTTTTAACGCTGTTTTTTTATTTCCTCTGCAGTTATTTCTGCCTCTAAAGAGTTCAGTTGTGTTTCTCTTAGTTTCGGTAGGCCTGCATCCTCTAGGTATGTCTTTCTTTTCCCTCTATTTACTGTTCCCATTTTCTTAAACGTATCCTGAGGTATGATATTATACAGCTCGTTATAATACTCTTTAAATATTTAGCAATATGTGTACAAATTCCCCCTGGGATTTCTTATTTTCTCAATATAGTTTCTATTTTTTCTTCTTTCTTAAAGTTCTCATTAAATACTTTCCCGGCCTATCTCCCCATCTACACCTTTTACATGTTATTTTCCTCCATTACATTCTCTAATTCTTCTTTCTTCTTTATTAACAACTGCATTATCTCCTTAGATCTTTCCCTTTTATGCACCTGTTCAAGATCATATATTTCATTTTAATAATCTATCTATCTTTTCTCTCCTTTCTTTTTTCTTTTTTGTCCCCATTGCAATGAGTATATCTCTGATGTAGGCTTTATGTGCTTCCCACACCGTTGCAACCGACACATCCTCTGTTTCATTCTCTTCAAAAAACCATTCAATTTCCCTGTCAATTCTTTGGCCAATCTCTTCATCCATGAGAAGTGCCTCATTCAACCGCCATACATATCCTTCTCTCCCCTCTCTACCCCATCTTAACTTCATTGCAACTGGGGCATGATCCGACAGGGTGCTTCCTCCAATTTTTACTTCCACCACCAACTCTATCATTCGATGTTCTACTAATATGTAATCTAATCTAGAATAAGTCTCATGTACATGCGAAAAGAAAGTATAATCTCTCTCCTTCATATTCCTGATTCTCCAGATGTCCACCAGTTGACACTCATGCAACAGTTTCTTTAACATTCTCAAGGACTTGCTTTCCTCCCTCCTCACACAGGAATTAGTATCCATCCGCGGGTCCATACAGATGTTAAAGTCTCCCGCTACTATCATACACCCCCTTTTAAAATCCATCAATCTCTTCAACACTTCTCTCATAAACATCTCCGGCCTCTTATTTGGACTGTATATGTTGTTTGCTATTGTACACTCAGTTCCCTGTAATTTACCTCTCAAAAATAAAAACCTTCCCTCCAAATCCGTTAATCTGTCCTCCACCTCAAACCTTATATTCTTTGCAAAGCCTATAGCAACTCCTTTTGCTCTTTTGATTGGTGAGTCCGCATAAAACCATGTTGGAAAATGTCTGGTCCTCAATCTAACCTTCGATTCTATCTCTAAGTGTGTTTCCTGCAGAAATACCACTGAGGATTTTCTATGTTGTAGTTCTTTAAATAATCTAAATCTCTTTCCTGGACAGTTTAACCCTTTTACGTTGTAGGTTATATATTGGATTTCTTCCATCTTACTCTTTTCCTGCTAACTCCTTCTTCCTCCTTCCCTTCCTCTTTCTCATTCCTATAGAGCGTTTTTATCCCATACACATTTCTCTCCCCTTATCCCCCCCCCCTCTCAGTATTCCCCTCAATCCCTTTCCTCTCCCTCCCCTCCACCCCCCTCCCTCACCATCATCTTCCCTCCCTCCCTCCCCCCCTCTTTTTAGGCCTTCGCTTTGCCTAACCATCATTTGTGGAGATGACATCTACTTTTGATTTAATCCTGAGGGCTACACTCCTCCCATGGACAGCCTCCCCTCCCTCCGAATTTCCCCATTGACCCCCTATCTGCTTATACTTATAAAGAAAGAAAAGAAAAAAAAAAAAAGAAGAAAGGAGTTAAGCTAAAGGAGCGAGGGAGGAAAAGGAGGTAGAGCGGGAGCAAGGAGGAAGAGGAAAAAAAAAAAAAAAAAAAAACCCTTCTCTCACCTCCACTTCCCGCCCCATCTCCCCCCCTCCATCCGTCTCCACTCCTCCCCTCTTCTTGATCTATTTCCCTATTCTTCTTCCCAACCATTAATTTCAATTCTCTGCATTTCAAGTCTATCGCAAAAAATTTCTCAAGTCCTCTGGGAACCTCAAATGGGCTGTTATTCCATTCTTCCATCCTATTAGGCACTCCGGTACCCCCCATCTATATTGCACCTTCTGTTTTTTCATCTGCTCCAGCAAAGGCCTCAGAGCTCTCCTCCTCCGGAGAGTCTCCGATGACAATATATTTGGATATCCATTTCTCCATATTTTATTACTGATTTTCCCTTAGTTTTCCTCCATATTCTTTCCCTTTGCTGCATTTCATAAAATGGTCTCCCCTGGGTTCCCCTGGAGTTTCCCAATTCTAGAGATTCCTTCTATATTAGTCCTTTCCATATCAAAGTTTTCCATTATAAAGTTCAGTATTTTGCAAACCGCCTCTTCCAATATTTCTCCTTTTAAACTTTCCGGTACCCCTCTTATCCTTATATTTCTCCTCCTTTCTCTATTCTCTTGGATTTACGCCTTGTATTGCAATTTTTCCTGAGCTTTTTCCATATTAATTATCTTCTTCTCTAATTCGGAGATAATCTGGGTCTGATTTTTAACATTCTGCTCCGTTTCTTCCACTCTTAGCAACAACTGCCCCAGGTCATTCCGAATATTTACCATTTCTTGCTTTATTGTTCTCTCCCGGATCTTTGAACATTTCTGTCATCTCTTTTTTATTTGGGATTTGTAGGTCATTTTCTGTCTCTGATATTTGTTGACTACTAATATCCAGGTCCATAGATTGTTTAGGACTATTTTGCATACTTAGATCTAATTCTCCTTTGTCATTTCGGCTCTGGGGCCTTTCCGGGGTCATGTTTCCCTGGGATGTGTACTTTTTAATTGTACCCGTTTGGGACCCTTTAGGCCCGGATCCTTTTGCACTTTTATTTTTCATTTCTTCTGTATCTTTTATTTTTTCTCTCATAAACTTGTACTTTACACAAAAAAGCAATTAATATGAAATAAAAACAGAAATCCCAACTCTGTCTGTTCACTTTTGCTTTTCTGTGTGTTTTTTTTTTCTGCACCTTATGTTTTTCTCCTTATTTAAATTCTCTGGGGGTCCCCCCCTTTTCTCTCACTCTCTGCTTTCCTCCAGCTCCATACAGTTTTTTTATGCAGTTTTTATGTTTGGGGCCACCGCCAGACTCACTCACCCTTCCTGCTCTTCTCGTGAGACGGCTCCAGGCTTCATCCTCTAGCTCCTTCAGTAGGTCAGCTCTTTTCCTCCCAGGGGGACCCTCCAGGACTTTCCTCCACTCTCTTCTTTTTGTTGGGCTGGCTGTTCTTTCCAGTCAGCCCCTTGGCAGGGCTTCAGAGATAGCTGGTCGTCCGACAGGACGGTATTTCTCCTGCTCTCCGTCAGCCTCTGGCCAGCCGGCCGGCTTCCTTGCCTCCCAGGGATGCACCGCGGCCGGTCACGTGTCTCGGCCGCGCCTCCCTGTTTCCCGGCAACCAGGCTCAGCGTCCCCGTCTCTCTCTGTTGGTCTCCGTTCCCACAGGCCACCACTCAACCAAAAGGAGCCCGCCCGGCCGAGGTAGGTCTCAGCCTTCTAGGGCTCCATGCTTCAGGGGGAAGTTTAAGGTCAAAGAGGGATCAGACGGAGAAGCCCCATGCGGGAGCTCCTACCACGAGCTCTCCGCCGCCGCCGCCATTTTCAGGCTCCGCCCCCCAGGCATTCACTTGTTAGTTCCAGAAGTCCCATACTTGAACTTTTCTGGTATGGATTTTTAATAGGACCTCACCTTTTTTTGCATGAGGATCAGCCTTAAAATCTATGCCTAACTGAAAGGTCTGGTATAGGTTTCCTGAAGAAACCTGTGCATTTTTTTTGTACAAGGCACCCTATTAAAATTGCTGCCAAACTCAAGGGATCTGGTAAACATTTTGGGGGGAGTCTTTTTTTTTATTCTTGCTGCTGGATGTGGTACAGGAAAAGTGACATTTACAGCAATACAGTTTTAATTACTGGCAAACAACATTCATTGCCAGCAATTCAGCATACAGACCCCTCCCAAGGCCCCACAGATATTTTAGGGGACTTTTGGAGGAATCTGTTTGTTGCTTTTATTTTTAAATAGAAGCCAGGAGGGAAATGTCATTTCTCGACAATTACAACCCTTTTTTTCTTTGTAAATGTCAGTGCTTTAAAAAAAAAAAATAATTGTTCCGGCCAAATGGAATTTCTAAATACATGTTCCCTAAGGCAGTGGCCACCTGCCATGCTGTTATTATTATTTTTTTTTACAACCTTGTATCTATTAGCCCCGAAAAATTAAATTTTTTTTATTTAACAGATTTGGCTCCTATTGACTTCAATGGGGATTGAACTCCTTTGAAGTTTACTGCTTGATCCAAAATCAGGGCAGTTCGGCTCATCCCTACCTATGAGGTTACTCTGTCCAATATCCAGAGAAACAATAAGAAAAAGCAGACTTTTGCATCTGTGCCCTCTTATTACAAAATTTCTTGATTTTGTAAATATACTCTATTGTATGTACAGACAGGAAGAAACAAGTACAAAAACCTTTATTAATAGATTGCAGCAATCATCGCTCAGGCGGTCTGGAAAAAAATGTTGACATTAGAATAATAAACATGAGTTCACTTTTTTACAACATGCTGAAAGATAAAGTGCCTGACAAAGTGTCATACAAGCATAACATTGTTTTTGGTAATATGAGATCTCCATTTACAATCATTCTGTTCTTCGGCTTTTTTCATCACTGAGTGCAAAGTGATCAGTTACTGAGAATCCTTTTTGATATGCAAAAGAAACTGGTGTAGCACCCTCCTAATGCAGTGTTAGCAGGGGCGGACTGACAACTCATGGGGCCCCCGGGCCATAGGGGATCATGGAGCCCCTGTGTCCTTGCCCAAACTCAAAAAAAGCCTATGAAAAAGGTACCAGGGACATCTCATGGGGCCCCCTACTGACCCTGGGCCCTCGGGCAGTGCCCAAGTTTCCAAATGGTCAGTCCGCCCCTGTTAGCCATTCAGTAATAGAGTTAGCTCCTCTGTGTTCAGGGAGAAGGGATTGATTGTTTAGGACAGCTCAGTGTCTCACAGGCTGCTGCATTTATTACGTTCCCCTGTATTCTAGAGGATTCTAGAATTATAGCGGGAGGTAGACATGTGCGGTTCGTTTTGTTCCGAATTGAAATTCAGATGTATCTGAATTTCCGAATTACAAAAGTAACAAATTTAACCGCTTACCTGCCGCCGTATAGCAGATATACTGCTACGTGGCAGCAGGGTTGCGCAAAATCACGTATATACCCACGCCGCCATTTGCGGATGTCAATCACCGGGTTCCGGCCGGTGATTACCCACCGGCGCCCGGTGACTACAGACAATCACTGATGGGGAGGAAGACTGTTTTGTTTACAGTCTTCCTCCCTGTCAGCTCGGGCTTACTGCTCGGGATGGCTGTGCACAGCCGGAGGAGATGGCCGGGGACGCTGCAGGGGACGAATCGCGGGAGCGAAGGACAAGGTAAGTGCTGCAGGGACCCCCTGAGCAACGCCGCATGGTAAGCCTGAGTGTAGCTTGGGGTTACCGCTCTTGGTATTGAAATTTTACCCCGAGCTACACTCGGGAAAACCGCTAAGGAGGTTAACCCCTTG